ACCACCCGACACGGAGAGGCTCATCTTCCACATTTCCAAACAGAGGCCACTCTGGCCCATAGGGGTGGGAGGCCACATGGGCCTGGCACAATGCCTGGCACATAGCAAGTGCCAGCTAATGGCGCCCATTCCCTTGGCCACGTCACTAACGCCTTATCAAGGAGACAGGACACCCACCTTCGGGCCAGACACTGCACACCAGTCACAAGGTCGGGGTGGACCAGCCGACTGCGCCCTGCAGGGCGGGAGGAAGGAGGTCTGACCCCAGGCCGGGCGCCGGTGGCCCCCGCCTGCCATCCCAGCTACTCCGGAGGCTGAGATCTGAGGATCACGGTTCAAAGCCAGCCGGGCAGGAGAGTCCATGAGACTTTTGTCTCCAATGAACCATCAGAAAACTGGAAGTGGCTCTGTGGCTCAAGTGGTAGAGCGCTACCCTTGAGCTGAAGAGCTGAGGGACAGCGCCCAGGCCCAGAGTTCAGGCCCCACGACCGACAAAAACAAAAGAAAAAGAAATGCCACTGTGGGGTGGCAAAGTCGCTGTCACCTCAGCAGTGCCATTAAGAGCGGCCTTCCTAGCATCTAAGTAGACTGCCTTCCTTGTGTGTGTTCTACCACTGGAGCCACACCTCTAGCCTACCCTCCCTCCTTCTCTCCCTCCCTCCTTCCCTCCCTCCCTCCCTTCCTCCCTCCCTCCCTTCTTTCCTTCTTTCTTTCCTTCCGTCCTTCCTTTCTTTTTTGTGCAGGTCCTGGGGCTTGAACTCAGGCACTGTCCTTGAGCTTTTTTGCTCAAGGCTGGAGCTCTACCACTTGAACCACGGCACCACTTCCAACCTTTTGGTGGCTAGTTGTAGATAAGAGTCTCACAAACTTTCCTGCCTGGCCTAGCTTTCCACTGGGACCTAGGATCTCGGCTTCCAGAGTAGCTAGGATTACAGGTATGAGCACCAGGGCCCAACAATATTCCAAAGTTTGTTCTTAAGACAGAGTCTTGGGCTGTAGACTTGGCTGGGCTCACACCTCAATCCTCTTATCTCCCTCATAGCTGTGATTACAGGCATGAGCTGCCTCACCAGGCCCCACATGCATAGTTTTGAGGGTCTCTAAACTCTGCAGTGGTCACTCTTGGGACGAGGCAGACGCTTCACGTGGTAATGACACACTCCACCCTGGGGGAGGGGTTACTTTTGATCCAGTTGTTATCTTGTCCACCAATGGGGACAGAAGTTGAGTTAGATAAGATGGAGTCTTAGACTACAATTGCACAGGAAGGTCAGGAGTTGTGCAGAGGTGGGGTGGAGGGTCCGGGCAGCCGGGGAGAGGATGGATTAGGGCACCAGGCCTGGGGCGTTGGAAATGGGGGAAGCCCCTGCCGGTCATCCTGCACGGCCTCCGCCGCCGCCGGCCCACGGGGCCGCTCAGCCTCCACCAACCACCAGTGGGCGGAGGGCATCTCGAGGGGGCTCGTCCTGGTGCTCCTGCCTCTCGAGGGGGCTCGTCCTGGTGCTCCTGCCTCTCGGAGGGACTGCGCCCGTGGGAGAGTCCAGCGCAACGCCGTGGGTGCTGCGGGGGCCAGGCCTGGCGCGGCACGGGGCGAAGGCTGGAGCCTGGCAGCGCGGAGCGGCGGGGGCGGGGCGGGGACGCGGCCAGGGGCGGAGCACCAACGTGGCCTCTTGCACAGGGTCCACGCCAGGAGGGCGCAGCCACCAGAGCCATCCAGGAGACAACGGTGCAGCTCCCACGCTGTGGCAGGAAGGACGGACCTGGGCCAGGGGTGCTGCCGACGACCCCCTCGGCCCGGCAACACTCACCTGACCGCACACAGCCGTCACCGCGCCCTCTGCGGGCTCTCCAGGTGGAGATGGGAGCCGGCCTGGATCCTGGCCAGGACTTCCTCCCCAGGTCCCCTCCAGGACCTCCCAGCACTGGCCAGAGCCGGGGGGCCTGCCCCCACCAAGCCCCGCCCCTCCCTCGCTCCGAGCAGCCGTGCCAGGCGCCCGAGCCCTGCGCAGGGGCCTGCGCAGACCCTGCCGCCTCCCTCCCTCCGCTAAGCCTGGTGACAGCCCACCCACCTGGGCCGTGCCAGGTCCCCACGTGCCCCTGCCCCAGGTCCTGCGGGCTGACAGCCTGCGGTCCATCCGATCCGACCCCTCCCTCAAACGAGCCCCGGAGCAGGTGTGAGCACGCCTCCTTCCTGCCCCGGGGACCCAGGGGCTCCACAGGCTCACTGCTGCCCACAGCCCAGGCAGGCCTGCATGGTGGCCTTTCGGGGGCAGGGGGAGTCTTGGTGACCAAGAGCACATGGCCTGTGGAAGCCAAGCCCTGAAGATCCAGGCTGAGACTCTTCCCACTGGGGAGACTCGGCCTGCCCGCACCCCTTCCCCGCAGCACCCCTCCCGACGCACCTCCTCCCTCCCACAAGTGGCCCGACACGTGCATTGCTCTCTGTGAGACAGACGTGCTTGGCTGCCAAAGAGCTGGAAATAGACACGGCAGCGGAAAGGAAACTCATCCATTATCGAGTCCAGCTCCACTGCAGCGAGAGGTCCCCACACACCCCACCCACAGACCGGCGCTGCTTCCTCGTAGACTGAGTCCCTTCCGGGTTCAGATTTATCTTTTCATTTTTTATTGACTGTCCGAGGCAGGGCCTCGCCGCGCCGCTCTGGCGGGCCTGGGCCTTTTATTTCCAGCCTCTGTCTCCCAGCCCCTCGGCACCTGGGCTGGTCCTCCGGGCTCGAAGCGTCTCTCCCCCCCCAGCCCTGCCCCCCCGTCCCCTCCCCGCCCCCCCACCCCGTACCTGTTGGTGGGATACAGAACATCCCAGGCCAGCTTGCCCTGTACCCCCTCCTTAGAGGGCACTGCTACCTTACGCTGGTGGCCTAAGGCCCCAATCACTTTCCAGCGCCCATTGGCTCTCAGACCGTCCATGTGACTTGCTTTGGCCAATGGGATATTAGCAAGCATAAGGCCCGTGAAGCACCTGCAGCTGGGGCTTCCCTCTCAGCCCAGCCAATTGCCAAACCCCACGAAGCTCAGGAAGGCCGTTTACGGATGCCAGGCTTGAGAGAGTCGCAGAGATGAACCACCAGTGGGCAACAGCTGAAGGCACCCTCAGGGCCACCTGAGCAACACGCAGGCCGAGAGCAGCCGCTCGCCCTCAGGGCCTCGGAGAGTCCCTGCTGAACGGGTGATGCACGAGCAGATCCCTGAAGACCACTCACTGCGTTTCTCCAGGAGCGAGCTGCGGGGATGGGGAGGAGGATGGGGTCCCGCCACTCAGTTCAGTTCCACGGTGCAGGCAGGAGCCTCAGCGGAGCAGCCGTCCCGGCTGGCTGACAGCTCCCACAGCGGCTTCCCTCTCTGCAAGGAGTGGAGCGGTTCTTTGGTTCCGGTTCCTGGCCACCTAAGACCACTCCCTGCTGATCGGGGCCCTCCTGCCCACACTGGCCTGGCTCCAGCGCTGAGCGGGGTCCCCCTGCCCACACTGGCCTGGCGCCAGCGCTGAGCGGGGTCCCCCTGCCCACACTGGCCTGGCGCCAGCGCTGAGCGGGGTCCCCCTGCCCACACTGGCCTGGCTCCAGCGCTGAGCGGGGTCCCCCTGCCCACACTGGCCTGGCTCCAGCGCTGAGCGGGGACCCCCTGCCCACACTGGCCTGGCGCCAGCGCTGAGCGGGGTCCCCCTGCCCACACAGGCCCTGTGCCGCTGCTGAGCGGGGTCCCCCTGCCCACACAGGCCCTGTGCCGCTGCTGAGCGGGGTC